CTCAGACGAAATAAGTCCTCTTAATCAGGCTTTATTTTAGAAATCAGAAAAGTTGCTTTCAAGTTGAAACTCTTTGCCAGAACTGAGGAATATTACAAAGTTGGAAATTACAAGAACTTTGGTTCAGCCCTCATTCATACGTTAACATTACATAGTAAGTAGGTGCAGTAATACAAGACAATTATAATGGTGAGAATGTTTATCATTACAGACTTTCTCGAAGGCCGTGAGAAGGTTGAAAAGCGCAAGTTTCCAATGGCTTTTGGAGGAGGTTCACTTTGATTAGTGTTTCATAGCGCAGCTAATCTAAGATCGCTCAGACATGTATCAAGCCTCCTCTTCTCAAGAATGGCAGAGGAGGAACCTTGCAGACAGATTGATAACATGCCAACAGGTGCTGTATGTAATATGGAAACAATAGGCATGAGAACGGAAATAGCAGAAGCACTACAATAGATAGTAACAAGCAAAGCTATGTACATCAGAGACCCATGATTACAATTACAGAGATCCAGTGACTCAAGTACCAGGGCAAGGGTCCGAGTCTGACACTTACACAACTACTTGATCTTGTTCAGAAGATACAAGTTGGGACCTGTGACTTCCTTGGCAGGAGAATGTTACTTGGGCATTGTTGATGAACAGAGCAGGAGCCAACTGCAGAATAATTAAACACTGCTTTAGATACCTGTGTAATTATTTATTTATTTATTTATTTATTTTTGGGATTTATATCCCGCCCCATCCAATATTCAGCTCGGGGCGGCTAACAGGTGGCTATGCCGAGATTAAAATATACATACAACAACATAGTAAGCCTTGTCAGTAAGCCTTATCAGCCTTGACCAGGGCTTTTTTTGTAGAAAAAGCCCAGCAGGAACTCATTAACATAATAAGGCATACTCAACAGCAGAAACTCATTAGCATATCGGGCCACACCCGATATGGGGGGGGGTCAACAGTGGGAGGGCTTCTAATGTCCTGGCCCCACTGCTGGACCTCCTGATGGCACTGGTATTTCTGGCCACTGTGTGACACAGAGTGTTGGACTGGATGGGCCTTTGGCCTGATCCAACATTGGCGTCTCTTATGTTCTTATGTTCTTATGATAGTACAGCTCATTAGCATATTAGGCCATACCCCCATGTTACCAGAAGTGTAGTCATCCAGCCACACCCACCGTTTGCTTCTTATTCTGTTTACCTTGTTTGGTGTCAAAACCCAGGGGTTTTTTTGTAGCAGGAACTCCTTTGCATGTTAGGCCACACACCCCTGATGTAGCCAATTCCAATGAGTTTCTGCTGTTGGGTGTGGCCTGTTATGCTAATGAGCTCCTGCTGGATGTGGCCAACTCAGGAGCTAGCTGGAACTCCGTTCCTGTGCGTTCCTGCCCAAAAATAGCCCTGGCCTTGACACAATTTACCTTGGCAAGACTATTTCAAGGCCAATTCTGTGCATGAATGTCCTGAACATGGACTGTTTCCATGGTAAAATGGAAGAGGCAAATTGATTAGCCCATATTGTATCAGTTTGGCTACAGCGCTTGACTTAAAGTGAATACAGTCCTAGTTAGAAAGTTTCGTCTTCCTTTCATGAAATCTTTTGAGAACCATCTCTAAACATGTAAGAGACTGATCAAAGGTGATGTTGATTGGGCCAAAATTGCTTACTGGAGTGGCATTGTATGGCTTTAATTTAAAATATGCCCTCTGTATGTATGTAGTATTGGAAGGCTTGGTTTAAGTATAAAGCCAGCCACATGGAATGCTACACAGGTAAGCATGCCTACTTGGCATAACATTTAAATCAGAGTTTAGTGCTGATTTTTGAAGTGTTTGAACATGCTGGAAAATTGGTTCCCCCCTTCAGTACTAAGGTTTTAGGTTGTTCAGTTGGTAGCATAGGCGTAATCTTCGTGGGGGCGACGGGGCTTCAGCCCCCGCCGAAATTTTCAGGAAGCTGCTCAGCCTCCCCCGGGAGCCACCCTTGTTCCTAGCACAGCAATGCCTCTGGCCCAGCCCCAGCCTCCCCCGGGAAATTGGAAAGTCTACACCTTTGGTTGGTAGTACAACTGCTGTTCAAATACAGCTTTTCAAATCAAGTCACAAATACCAAATTTTGTAGGAGAATTCATTCTTGGCTTACAAAACTGCAAGTTCAAATGTGGTAGTTTATGTAGAGTGAAAAGATGTGATACCTTGGTTTCAGTAGCCATCTGATCACTGAAATAAGACTTCAGTTAAATAGAGATAGTGCAGAAATATGTCTGAATAACGGTTCATTTCCGTGTTCTGGGAAGAGTTGCTGTGTTTGGGTTGGTGTCATTGGAAGCATGGCTCTTGGAATGATCTGGCTTTCTCAGACTGGGCTTATTGTAAAGCATGCCTATTTAAATCAGGCTTCCTATGTGTTTCTCAGATATTTCCTAAACAAATTAACATACCTCTTGCTTGATCTGATAAATAAAAACATGGAGGAAACATGGTTTCTTTCAACTCTCATTAGAAAGGTAATTAGAAATTACACATGGAGCGCATTTCAAAACATAGTTTACTGTTTCTGTTGAGTTGTACATATGAATGAGAAACACATTTGTATACATGTGTAGGGACAGTGAGAGAGCACATTTACTTGTATATGATGTGCCTGCAGCTTTGCTGAGTCTGATAGTTACCAAAGGAAACAAATTTTCCCCATGAGTTTCAAAGTAAACAGTCATGCTGTTTCGATAATTTGGAAGGTAGTCATTAATTTTAGTAGAGATCTGAGAAAATTGATGTGGATGGATGTAGAGCAGAATTTCTTAAACTGAGGCCCAGGAAGCCCTGAGGAGTCTGTGACAATATCCTTGGGTCTATGAATATACAGAGGATGAACCCTTCTCACACGATGTCATTTTTCTAGGAATGGAAATGTTGGATGATGTGGGCCAATGAGAGACGAGAGAAGGACTAGGGGTCTGTGAGAATGTAATATACAGAGGATGAACCCTTCTCACACAATGTCATTTTTCTAGGAATGGAAATGGTGGATGATGTGGGCCAATGAGAGATGAGAGAAGGACTAGGGGCCTGTGAGAATTTTAAGTTGTGGGTACTTGGATTGACAAGGGGCTGGAGCTTTGTGTTCCCTTTGTGTGAGCAGCCACTCATTAATGCAGGAAGCCCTGCTCAGCAGCAGTCTGGAGCCGTTCAGGGTCTTGCGCGGCCCATTCCCCATTTTAAGATTACAGCAGTTATATTCTGCTCAGGATGCGAACTGCTCTGCTCAGTAGGGGGGAAAAAATTAGAGAGGACATTGGCTCAAAGGTAGAGCATCTGCTGGGCATGCAGAAGGTCCCAGGTACAATCCTTGGCATCTCCAGGATCCAGTGGTAGTTGATTTGAAAGATCTCATCCTGAGAACCCAGAGAGCTCCTGCCAGTCTGAGTAGGCAATATTGACCTTGATGGTCCAGAGATTGATTCAGTATAAGGTAGCTTCATGCATTCAGGTTTTGAGAACTATTAGCAGTGCAAGATTTCTGGACATTTTAAAGTCATGAGAGAAAACTCTGTGTGTGTCTATATGTTTTTGAGGAAAAGTGGATATTTTGGAAAAATTTGGAATATGTTCAAAATTTACTTCCTTATCAAGCTGAAACTTATTTTACTTAAGCAATATAAAATGTACAATTTATGACTTAACATATAAAATTATAGTGATAGGCATATTTATGAAATTTGAAAGTATAAAGGCCTTAGTTTTGTGCAGGCAAACTTCTTATACTGCTGTCTCTCTGACCAAGCAATTTCAGGGCACCTGATAAACTGGTTTGTGATTTCAGATATCACAGTAAAACACAGCACAAACTGTGGTAAAGAACCAACTACGAATCCTGATTGGAAATCCATGTTTGTTGACAGCCATCATCTACATTCAGTTGATTGGTCAAACCACAGTTTATTGTTACATCTGACTGCAGCTATGCAGTGCTGCCCTATAGTACCTCGTTACTGTTGCCATAGAGGCCTAGTTTTGGGACCACTGTAGACACACCTATATTCTTTCTGAGCTTTTCTTAGGTGCTGATAGGCTTCCATTTTTGTCAGCTGAGATGAAGAGAATTGCTTGGATCTGAGCTATGTCATGTTTAGAATAAAAACCCAAATTATTTCCTGATTCTATAGATCTCCCTGAAGGTACCACTTTTCTTCACATCAAGAGGTGTAATTTCTGAAAGCTAATTCGCTAAGACTCTAATATTAGAAATTTGTGTTAATTAGATGTGTGTTTCTGAGCCGCAGAAGTCAGCTACTCAAAGGTTTTCAAGTGTATTAAAAGTCATGGGAAGTTTGGAAATTAGAATATATAACTTTGTTTTCTAGCAGGAAATTTGAAAAGTATAGATACATTGGCTTGGCTGGGCTTTGTTATAGCTGAAGACTGGAGTAAATTAAGGTGGACTTAAATCAAATGGATGTTAGTAAATTCTTTGTGTGATGTTCTGTTTGTAGGAAATGGAGATTGTTTTTCTTTTTCATAATGGAAAAAACATGTAGGGGTGAGGATCTTTTTGTAGTAATGAGATCCAACCTTTCTTAAGGTTAGAGAGTAGTTCAGATTTCTGGCAGTGATTTACATAAAACCCATTACAGTATTTGAGATACCAGTTAGGTGAAAGCAGTATTTTAATAATGTTAAACACAGAATTGGTGTCTTAACATTTTTTCCATGATAGATCACTATGACTTCCTGGTCTAACTTGGACATTACAGTACAAAATCCTGTGAGGACAATGACTTGTTTCCTTTGGATTAGTGTAACTTTATTCAGATTATAGAACAGTAAATCCATCTGTACATGGAGGTCATGTGTATATCAGAACCTCCGGTTTGTATTCATGGCTAATTTCTCAGAATTCTTTTTCTATACAGTATTAGAGAAATAAAACAAAAAAAAATGTAAATGTTGGGTTGCCCATAATACAGTTGACTGACTTACCTCTTCTTTGTCCCACAGAAGCGCCTTGTGCTACTCCACTGATCTGTAGCTTTGGACGGCCTGTTGACCTAGAAAAAGATGACTATCAGAAAGTGGTATGCAACAATGAACATTGTCCCTACAGCACTTGGATGCACCTTCAGTGTTTTTATGAGTGGGAAAGCAGCATTTTGGCCCAGTTCAACTGCATTGGGAGAGCAAGAAGCTGGAATGAGAAACAATGTAGGCAAAACATGTGGACCAAGAAAGGATATGATCTTGCCTTTCGTTTTTGCTCCTGCCGCTGTGGGCAGGGCCATTTAAAAAAAGACACTGATTGGTATCAAGTAAAACGAATGCAAGATGAGAAGAAGAAAAAGTCTGTGTCTGAGAAGAGTACGGGAAGATCAGCATCCGAGTCCACAGAAGATGTTAAAAAGTGCAGGCCCGCAAACAAGTCACAGAAAGGTTTAAATCATGAGATCCAGCGGCGGCATTCTATGGACAGACAGAACTCTCAAGAGAAAAGCGCCTCTGGTGGTAGTTATGCAGTCCGTTCTCCCTGTGGTTCTCCTGGTCAGTCTCCTCCAGCTGGCTACTCTGTTCTTGCCCCCACACATTTCAGTGGGCCCCGTTCTTCTCGATATTTAGGAGAATTTTTGAAGAATGCTATTCACCTAGAACCCCACAGGAAGAACATAGCCAACAGTGGCATGTTTAGAAATGCTCACTTTGATTATGGGACATCTGGTCTACAAGCACATAGGTCGGGACATTTTGATGCCCCTGTACAGTTTTTGAGGAGGCTTGATCTCTCTGAACTTCTTGCTCATATACCACGGCATAAACTGAACACTTTTCATGTTCGGATGGAAGATGATGCCCAAGTGGGTCAAGGAGAAGATCTGCGGAAATTCATTCTTGCAGCACTCAGTGCCAGTCACCGAAATGTTGTCAACTGTGCATTATGTCACAGGGCACTGCCAGTATTTGAACAGTTTCCATTGGTGGATGGAACCCTGTTTCTCAGCCCATCACGACATGATGAAATTGAATATGATGTTCCCTGTCACCTTCAAGGTACAGGTTGCTTATGGATTCCTCTTGGTTTTTAAACAACTGCCCTGCATTTTGCCTCCTACGCTTTTGAAGGTGGAACTATACATTACTTGCACATTTGAATAGCTGCATCTTCATGGTTGTTTAATATAGGAAAAACTAAGTTAGGCGAGAGTGGAGAAGCCATGTATGTGTGGAGGGTGGGATATCTGGTGCCTGAGCCTTTGCCTTCCACTTTCCCCCTTTGATTCATCCTTCCCTCTATGGGATTCTAGATCTTTGCAAACATATATTTCAGATGTCTTGGAGAGGGAGAAACAATGGGGGGTGGAGTTGCAGGGGAAAGAAGCAGATGAGGAAAAGGTCAAATGTCTTCTCTTGCCATTCCATAGCCACTTACAATACACAATTGCAAGAAGACGTGGCTGTTAGAGGGATTTTTGGTGTTGTTGTTTTTCAACCCGTAATACATAGACCAAGTTATCACTGGGCAAAAACCTCAAACACTGTTGAAACAAGTTTTGAAGTACTTAAGTAGCTTGGAAAGTCTAAAAATTGAATTTCTCTCTTATTTTTTCTATATGTGAGGCTTTCCACGTGGATAGTGAAGGATTGGTACTCTGCAATGCAGTATGCTTGCAGAAACTTGTTTGCTGTGAGACTTACATCTGTCTGTTCAAGGAAGCATCTTAATATTTTATAGCTCAAAGAGCCGGTCTTGCAACTTTTTTTTTGACAGTTCTTTGAAGAGGCCAGTTTGCTGACATAGTAACTGGTAAGCCCACAAGGGGTGTGGAGAGGCATCTTTGTGGGTTAATCATAATATACTTGCCTCAAGAAAGCTCTTTGCACACAGTTGAGGCATTTGGGAAAGGAAGGCACCAAGTAAGATGAGAAGTGCCTACAGAGGGTAAAAGTTGTACACATTGTGCCCTCTGTCTGGGAGTTTCTGCTATTGTCAGTGAGGTATGAATCCTTCTTGACCAGATTGTGATTGGGGCTAGTGCAAAACTTTAACGTGTTCCCATTTTACTGCTTATAGCTATGTCAGAACATAGCTTTAAAGTTTCCCAGTGAACATTATGATATGTTCACAACCCGCTGCCTTGATGACCCTATTTGGATGGGAAGGTGGCATAAAAAGTTTTAAATAAGAAAATAAAGTATAATTCTTACCTCATTAATCAGCTGCCCAGTGAGAGTTAAAAGGTAAAAACAGAGTCATTCGGCACTTGATTTGGATGTCTGTCGTTTCTGCCTTTGAACATTTACTGCTAATCTCTTCTTTTTAGCTGTGCTCATATGACATTACTTAATGCCTAATAACATTCCAGGAAGGCAGAACTGTTTTCAAAGGCAATTAAGCTAAGATAACATTAATCATTAGAAGGTAAATGGAACAAGATGTTATTAAAATATATTTTAAACACTCTCCTATAGGAAACCAATCAATGGATTTAATCCAAACCCTTCTGAACAGAAGCAGATTGCAGAAATATATCTTCCCTGCCTTCCCATTCTTCCAGCAGGCCCCATACCATTGATAAAGTCACTGCTCAGGCTTGGAAGGGTGCTCTTCCAGAACAATATGCTGCAAATCATGGGAAGACTTTAGTAAGGAGTGGGAAGTCGGGCAAAATGACACCCTCTCCATTTAAGTGAGTGGCACAAAACTCTGCTCTGCTGGGGCATAAGGGACCCAAGTTCATATCCCCACTCTGCCATAAAGCTTGCAGGGTGACCTTGGACTGATCACTTTCTTCTGGTATAACCTACCTTCATGGGTTGTTGTGAGGGTAAAATGGAGGAGGAGAGACAGATGTCTGTCACCCTGAGCGCCTTGATGGGATAAAAATTATATAAATAGAGTAAGAAGGTGTGTGGTGTGTGTTTGGGAAATTTCACCCATTCCCCCACCTGCTTGCAGCATCCCATACTGCATAGATTAATCTCCCTGCGTGTAGAAAGTTCCATGTTGCATCTGAACGAGCTTTCTCCCTGATGTCAAAACTTACTTGCAAAAGCAGTTTTTAGTGTTGGAAGCTTTTAAACAAGATATTGTATGGAAGGATGGAATTTGAAACTCACATGCATTGTTAGTGAGTGAGTGCATGTGGAAATCTGCGCCATGCCCTTCCTTTTACATTTCAGGGCTGTTCTGCACATTCAACTTATTCCTGATCAACAAGCACTGGAATCAGTTTGGGCATGGGTCTTTGGCACATCTGCCCTCCCTCTCCATTTTCACAGTTGTGGCATCAGTTTATTTTATTCCGCATATGTCTTAAGTAATGAAGGTTTTCAAGGGAGTGTCCTGTTGTCATAGGTGGCATCACAGCCAGGATTTTTTATCCTGGGGGGGTGCCAGGGTTCGGGGAGGGGGCTGCTGGTGCTGGGGAGGCTGCTGGTGGGCGGGAAGAGCTTGCTGCTGGTAGTGGGGAGCTTAGCAGCTCTGACAGTGAGGAGGCTGTGCAGCAGCCACCCACTCCTCTCTCTGAGTCTTCTTTAAAAGACCCAGCGGGGGGGAGGAAGACGGTGGGGCGACCTTGTTACTGTCCGGGCCGAGTCTTCTCCGTGCTTGCTAGCAGGAAGAAGGCTTGGTGCCCGGCAACAGAGGCCATGTGGTCACCCCCTCTCTTCCCCCACTAGTCAACTGAGCAGAGAGGGGTTTTTAAACCCCCTTTCTGCTCAGCTGGCAGGCGGGGGGAAGAGATGGGGTGGTGCGTGGCCTCTGTTGCCAGCTGCCAAGTTTCCTTCCTGCTAAAAATGTTAGAAAATGATTTAAAAACCTTTGGGCCAGATCACAGCACCCCCTTCTTTTGATTTTTTGCACATGCTTATATTGAAGCCACAGCCTTCAGTTTGCAAGACTTGAGCAGGTCTCTTAACAATAGGATGTTTTGTAAGACATAAGGTTGCCATAAATTGGGTGTGACTTGATGGCCCTTAACACACTCATATTGATATATTGATATCATGGCTGCATTTTTTAAAAAGGCACTAAAATATTGATATACTGCTGTAATGATAGGTCAGGCAGATTCTCTGAAGTCCCAGCTGGGAATTCAGAAAACCTGCTAGATATATCAGTACAGCGGTATATTGATATTTTAGTGCCATTTAAAAACAAAAATGTAACCAGTTGTCTTCAGGGCAGAGGGGGAGAGGGAGTGGTTTGACAATGACAGTCCAATCATTGAGTAGTGGGTGGGTAAAGAAAGCCAGCAGAAACATTATGGGCGAAATGACTCAAAATTGGCTTCCAGAAAAAGATTGGGGTAAAAGTGGTCTCAAACCAAAGGAAAAAAACCCCATGGAGGGAACTTTTATTTATTTATTAAATTTCTACCCCGCCCTCCCACCGAAGCGGGAAATTAGTGAAAACTAGAAGCACAAAACTAGAAGCCCAAGTGAAAACTAGAAGCACAAAAATGCATGTGGAGATTGGAATAATCCAAAGCAGTATGGGGCTAGAACAGGCAGAAAAGTTCTCCATCTGCTCTGTGGTTATATGGCCAGCATCTGCTTCAACAGTGTGCACGCATTCATCACTTGCAATGAGGGATCCTCGCTCCCTTCCTGACATGGAATTAAGGCAAGAGTCTTTGTGGTTTTTGTGTGTCCTGGTATTTGTACATTCTGAATGTGCTTTCGCCCTAATGTCTTGCATGGTTTTTACTTTGGTTCATCACAAACTTGTATGACTTTATGGATCAAACTTTATTTGATGCATTCAAATTAACTTTCTATTTTAGCACTACAAAAATGGATGGGATATCTGTAGTAGTAATTGCTTAGCAAAAAATTACATACATGTTCTGTCATTAAGACGTTGGCTCACCCTTTGTGTCTGGCATTTCAGCAAAGTTGTTACAAGAGTTACAGTGCCTTAAACAGAGTTTAAAATTTGCCCCCACAGTGTTCATTGTAGCTAACTGTAGTTGTGTTTTAAATAATCACAACTGATTTTCCAAAGGTTGACATAGCATATTTTCAATTTAAATCCTGATAGCACTGTTCTTAGAATTGAACCTTTCCCTTTAGTTCGTTTTGCAGAGAACAAGGTATGGTTGCCAACTCTGGCTTGGGAAATTCCTGGAGATTTTGTAGGTGAAATCTGGGGAGGGCAAGGTTTGGGGAGGAGAAGAAGTTCAGTGGGTTATAATGCTATAGAGCTCACTCTCCAAAGCAGCCATTTTCTCCAGGGAATTGATCTTTGTCATCTGTAGATAATTTGTAATTCTGGGAAATCTCCAGGTACCTACCTGGAGATTGGCAAACCTAGAACAAGAAAATGAGGTTGTAGTTGTAAAGTAAGGAACTGCCAGTGAGAATTGGAGCCAAAATGGGCACGGGAACTTGGAGTAGTTTAGCAGGCAAACTGGGAACCCAAACCTTTGGCCTGAAGAAATACTTCAAAATATTTCTCATTGTTTGTTAACAACCCACTATTTTAACAGTGGGTCCTGTGCAGAGTTACTCCAGTCTAAAACCATTGAAATACATGTGTGAGCATCTTATTGATGAATGTATCCCATAGTCTGAAAGATTTATGCATAACTTTAGACTCCGATATACTCCTTGCATTTAACCTTAACACTTGCCTCTTTGGAGAGGTGGTGGTATCACACAGTGCACAAACTTTAAAAGGCTAGATTTTATCTGTCAGAATATAATTTAGATTGTGATAGCAAAATAAGATAGGTGAGATTTTTTCACTGTGGTATTGGGTTTATAAAGAATGACTAAAGACTTGTACTCTACTCTCTAGAATAATGTTTACTAACTGCCCCCCAAATCTTGCCACCATGTACATTTCAGAGTGGCATCAATTGAGTATCTTAATAACTTGCCTTTGGAATCTAGTACATTTTTGTTCCATCCTTCCTCTATATATGCATATATGGTTCTCCTTTCCCCGTTTTAGCCTCACAACAGCCCTCTGAAGTCGGTTTGGCTAAGGAAGAGTGAGCTTTGAACCCAAATCTTCAAATTTCATTCTGTCACTCTGATCTCTATACCACACTAGCCTAGGTGATGATTTAAACCAATTACAGCCTGTGAATATTTTCTAGTTGTCTTGCATCATTTTAAAATAGTATCAGCTTGATGACTCAGGCACCTAGGTACTCTCTGACAAATAATATCTCGGGGGGTTATTAATTTTTTTATTTTCTAAAAAAAAAGGTGGGATACAGAAGGGAAGAAGGGGTGGGGGAAAATATAGTTTCATCAGGATTGTCAAATATTATGAGTTGTTACGTACAACAAGTAAAATCAGATGTATTACCAAGTGTATTACATATTTCAAATATTAGAAGCAGACAATAAAACATCAATATTACGGAATTTTGGGATAAATTCTCTCTTTAAAGAAATGAAGAAGAACTTTCCTAAAGTTAGCGGTAATCTATTAACAGTAAAAGAGATTACATCTTTAACAGTTGAATGGACTTCTGTGCTAAAATTAAATCATTGTAAAAACCTTAATGTCTTATTTGTTTAAATCTTAATTTTATTTTTACTAATTATTTTATTCTTACTAATTATTTAAATACTAGTGGAATACAGAATAAAACATTGAAACGATAATCAATATCTTTATCACCTTTAATATGATATTCAGATAATTCCAGAACTAAAAAACAAAGTTAATTATTCCCATAGTATGAGTAATAAGATTGCCATTTCTGCTGAAATTCTTCCAGTGGTCTTTTGTTTATATAATTGGTTAGTTTTGCCATTGTTGCATACTCTGCTAGTTTTTCTTTCCAGATCTCTATTGTAGTACTGTCTTCTGTCTTCCATTTCATTGCAAATATTACTCTGGCAGCTGTCAACATATATCTTAGTATGTCTTCTGAGGTTCTGTCTATATTATCTGGTAGGATACTCAGTAACATAGTCTCTGGTTTCATTGGAAATTTGGTTTTTAAAATATTTTGAATTTCTTCATGTATATTTTCCCGGTATCTTTGTGTCTTGATGCAAGTCCACCACATAAAATAAAAGGTGCCAACTTCTTTTTTACCTTTCCAGCAAGCCCCTTTGTAATTCTTGTCCATCTTTGCAAATAATATCTGTTGATGGAATATGTTGGATCTGCCAAAAGGACTATCTGGATTAGAGCATTCTCTCTACAGTATGGCCAATGAGATGGCCTGGCAAGCGCAATGAAATAACACTGGAAAGTTAACAAGCAGGACTTTTTTGAGGTGGTGATCTCCTGTTGTTTGTCTGCAGTTTCTGTCACTCAGAGGTGTGCTGGGTCTGAATACAGAAGCTTCATTTTTAGCTGTGTTAACTAGTAGCTGTCTAATGCATTTCATCCTGCTGTTCGTCCATGCAGTTCAGAGATGGCATACATAGTTTCCCCTTCTCCATGGTATCCTCATAACAATCCTGTGCAGTAGATTAGGCTGAGTCTGTGACTTGCCCAAGCTTATCCAGAAAGATCCATGGCAGGCTGGGGATTTGAACGATGTCCTGGATCCTAGTCAGACCTTCTAACCACTATACCACGCTGGCCACTGATTTACTTTCATAAATCTTTGAAAAATCATCTGAGCTAATGACTACCATACAAATGCTAAGTATTATTATTTTTTTGGTTTGTTTGCATAGTGGTGGCACATCAAGCTAATGACTACCATACAAATGCTAAGTGTTATTTTTGTTTGTTTGCATAGTGGTGGCACATTATTGAGAATGCATCTGTGTTTTCCAGAATGGATGCTGTATTTCTTCAATGTTCTAACTAAAGATGTCAGTTACAGCATTTCTAGTGGTGTTATAATGTGCAGCCACTTACTGCATAATATAATTGTAGGTAATTTCCACTTCTTTTAATAATGTTTGTTTTTCTCTCTATAGGAAGGCTTATGCATCTCTACGCAGTTTGTGTAGACTGTTTAGAAGGGGTTCACAAAATTATCTGCATAAAGTGCAAGTCTCGGTGGGATGGAAGCTGGCATCAACTAGGCACCATGTACACTTATGATATATTAGCCGCCTCTCCCTGTTGTCAGGTTAGTATTATCAATAAGGTCTTATTCAAATGAATTGGTTTTAACTGATACTCCTTGTGGAATTTATTGAGAAGTGCCCTAAAAAAAGAAAATAGGAAGAGAAATTATGGTCAGTTTTGAGGCCATTCAGTTGAGCAATATGGTAATGTATGCAATCCAGGGAAAACAAGGATCCAGATTAATTTAGAATTGCATTCTTTGTCTGATTTATCACCAGTCTCTTTACTCAAAAAGAGGAACTTGAAACTTCTGTTCGTTTCATGCGTTAGATACAGGGCAAATAGGTGCTTTCCATTTTCTTAGATACATATGTCAGATTTTATAATAGCAAGGATACGGAGGAAGGAAAGAAACTCACTCCAGTATGTAACTGTCAAGTAGAAAGAAAAATAGCTTTAGATAGAACTCTTGTCTTGCGTGCTGATGGCCTCTGTTTCAGTCTTTGGCATCTCCAGTGGAAAGTTGCAGGGCTGGGAATAACCCTTTCCTGGACGCCCTGGAAAACTTCTAATCAGAATAGAAATTGCTGGGCTAGGTGGACCAATGCATTTGTGAATAATATGAAGTGCTTTGAGAACTGTGTTCCAGCATACAAATAAAATACAAAAAGAAGACACAGTATTAAACTTTGTTTTATATACCACTGCTATGTGCCTAATGAGCATTGTCACTACATCAGTTTGCACAAAAATAGAAATCCTTACTGCTGGTAGAATTTAGGGTCGCTTTATGCTTAAAATGAGATGAAGATAAATATATTACCAATTCAATATGAATAACATGGTATCAGTTATATGTCCTATTGGTGTCCCCAATAATCAGAGATGAAGATGTGAGCTCAACAGAGGAAAGTATATGGGGAAAACGTGGAATTGTCACATATAAGGGCCTTAGTTGTTAATAGCAGATTTCATGGAGGAATTATACAGCTTGTATAACTGGATTGCTCTATTGCCAATATATTCAAATAGAAAGTGGAAATCTATAGCAGAAGGGGAAGAAATCTCAGAACTCCAGCATCTTTTATTTCCTTTACAATGTAACTGGTATGAAAGTTATATGATAAAATGGGAGTCATTTGAATTTTTCATTGGGGAAGATTTTCTTCAGTGATTTTCAAGTTTCACCATATTTAATTTTAGAGAGAACTGTTTCAAGATGCTAACATAATATTTGTTCTCCTGGAAAATTTAAGTTTTACAAGAGTTAATATAAAATGTTAATTTTGTAATGACAGCTGAGTTTATTAAGATGCAGACATACTGGAATATGATTTTTGTAACAAATTAATGAAATATCACAATAGTAATT